ACAGCCGGCAAGCCAGCACGCCGGCCAGCCAGCGGGCCAGTACACCAGTCTGCCAAACCCGCTAGCTGTCGCCAGTCAGGGCTTCTCCTCCTTAGATATATCGAGACCTGATAGTGGTATGTAACACCTTGTACAGTCAGAAAACTTTGCAGTGTTCTACTTTATAGTGTCTTGTTCCTTGCTATAAGATAAACTCCGTATTCCTCACAAGTATATTTTATCTGTGACCAGACTAATATTTTCGTGCAAACATATTTACTTTTGGTTATTGTTTCCCATCTCTGAGTACAAGCATTCAAACACCACAAGATTCCCTGATTTTACATAAATTAATGTTTTGTACATTTATATGTTACCAAAGTTCCATAATTAGAAAAATCTATTGTACTTTATATATAGTAATTAAAGCAATTTTTTTTCCACAAAAAGCGAAAGCGACCGCTGCCCATAAACATCCGCAATTGCAGATGCGTTGCCTACCCTTCATTGACGGAGGAAACGCACATAAAGAGGACATTTCCCCTTCCTATGCGTCTCCTTCACTATCAAATCTATTTTTTCTTCCCATATTTTCCTCTGGCGAAAAGCGTACAAAGAGAAAGGGACTAAAATTAGGCCAATTGCAATGTTTTGTTTGTCAGTGTTGGCGGCAAGCAGTAACAACAAACAACAAAAACTGGCAACAGACGGACTGAGTGATACTGAACTACAGCAGTATGTGAACATGGTGAGCTTTTTATTTTTACCTATACTAATATTATAAAGAGGAAAGATTTGTATTGTTGTTTTGTTGAATTTTTGTACGGAAATACCTCAACTAATGGGACAATTTCAAAAATTCTTGCACCAATAAAAGCTATGTTTGTAATAACATGGCTTTAATGGTTAAAAAAAATAATTCCATGCGCGAGCATCAGCCAGTTTTTCTAATAAAACATTTAATAACTAGTATTATTTAAAAAGCCCTGGAAACTCGTGGCTTACTTTATATGTTTTTCATAATTATATGATTTTGTAATGTTATTTATCCAACTTACTTAATAAACAGACTAGCTTATTATAAATAGATTTTATCCCTTTAAAATATTATCTTAAATATTAAATGTTATTCCAGCTGCTGTCGAAGCCTGTGAACTTTGGCAACAAGGAGACTGAAGGGTCGGAGCTGAAGGCGCCCAGCTCGGAGCTGCACGAGCCCCCCACCAGCGACCGCGCCGACAGGCTCGAGCGCAGAGACAAGACTAAGAAGTACAGCGCTAAACCTCCCTGGAAGTCTTAGGGCCTGTCTCTGTTAAAATATCGGAATTTGTTCCCTTATCTGACAGTGATGTCACTTTAAGCTATCTGATCCTCTATCAGCCAGTGGTGGGATAGGAACTTAGTGAAGTGTTTTAAGTGATATTGTATCCCTATTGGATTATAGGGTTAGTGTTCAGTACAAGTGTTTGTGTTTGTGAGTTCAAAGAAGACACCAAGTCTGGAGAAAGTATAATTTGTTGTAAAATATGGAGTTTCCAGTATGTGTAGTGCCGGAGTTAGGGTAAGACGCGGTTAGATCGCCAAAAGGGCGTGAGGACATCAAAGTTCCAGTCAAACATAGTTTGTGGGAATAATACTATTAGTTATTTAGTTGAAATCCTCTATTTAAGCTTTTAATAACAAAAATATAACAAATACAATAAAACAAGTAGCACTCCGACAGCCATTAAAAGAACAGAGACAAAAAAAAGTAAATGTTGCCACAAACTAAATTTTACATGTAATAAGTACAATTGCTCAAAGAATTATATCAATTTTTTTGTCAGCAAATTATTCCCTCTATTATGGACCTTGACCTCAAAGATGTTAATAAAGTTATAACGATATATAAATTCTAAATTACTGAAGTGATTTAAATGATGCATTTAACAGTTTCTCCACAGATTATTATGTATGGAATGTAATATATCCAGTGGGCAGTCAAACTAAAATATGATACTGTCAAAAGACTGTCAAGATTCTTTGAACTGTAACTGTCAAGTTTTAGGTTTTCCTACCTACCCTACTGTGACAATAAGAGTACTAATATGCTTGGTTTTGTAAGGAAATGTTTGAGAGGTAATGAAATTTGTTGTTGTATGTAACAAAATTACCTCGGTGGGGATGTGTAGTGAGCTGGTGATGATGATGTAACAAAAATGCATTTTATATATTTTTTTGATGTAACAAATCCGCCCAATGTTCATGTCTTATGTTTTACATAAGCATAGTTGATTTTTTTATAAGATATATTTTCGTGTGATATCTAATTGTTATTATGTAGGATTTTTGTAAATGAAATATGCTAATGTGTCAAGTACAATACACTGTTTTTTATGTTTTTTTTTATAAACTGAACCATCTCAATACTTTAAATTGATGTAAAATGTAGATTTTATCCAAAATGGGTCTAACTATTGTATTACTGTTTAATAACCGTCAAATAATGTTTAATTTTGTATTGTTGTTAATAAATTTTTTAAAACAAAATTCTTGTTTTATTACACTGATACAGAATAAGTTATAACCAAAGAAATTTAAGAAATAAAGACTAGACATAGTGGTCAAAATTTTTTCTCCAGTAACTTCTTTGAAAGGTACTATGTTAGTCGTCGAGTTTAGTGCCACCACCAGTCTTTGTATTAACATAAAAAATTGTAATAAGCTTCATATTTTGTCATGAAATAAACTGTCACAAAGTAAAATATGAACATTTAATATTATTTAATGACTAAAATATTGGCAATTTAAATACAAACTATATTGACATAACCTATCAATAGATTGGACCATGTGGAAAATTACTCAAGTGAAGTGTCGAATTTGCTTCCTCGATATATTTTTTGTATCGCTTTGATTCCTTTTCAGTTCCCTGTAAAGTTCTGTAGAGGGTGATGAAGACAAGCGCATGGGAGCGTCTCGTGATTGCTATGTATAAAAAGTGAACACCCCCGTCAGGTTCGAAGCCGGTGTTACCGACAGGTTCAGTGTGCCTGCACCAGGGATTGGTTTTGAACTCTTATCTGTTCCTCCCGGTTATCGATCCGTTAATTTTGGAGATCCCGGAGGAAGGTCTCTGGTGTATGCTGTTTGCCGACGTCATTGCGGGGAACATGGAAATAAAAACGCTATGGAGGAAATGGAAACAGGTCAGAAGGATAATATGCGACCCGCAAATTCGCCTAAAAATAAAGGGGTCCCACAAAAAATATACAAAAGTGTCGAGTCTTGCTTCCCCTATAAAAATGTTACATGATGACATCTAGATTACAGGTGTAAACCTAGTCATTTTAGTTAGTGTCTATTATGAAGCCTTAGCAATTACACAGTGCCATCATTTCGGAAGTATTCCACTTGCTAATACCATACCATTTTTCTCTTAACCCGAGAAAAGTTCTTGCATATGACATTTTTCGGCAGTAAGAGGAACGGATAAAAGGAGATCAAAAATGTCAGAATTGCAAATGCAGATAGATGTGTGAGGTAACACAAATGGATAAGATACGAAATGAGTATATTAGAGGAAGTTTGAGAGTAGCCCCAGTGGTTAAGAAAATAAGGAGTAAAAGGTTAGAGTGGTATGATCATGTTCTGAGGAGGGATGAATCACATGTCACATTGCTAGAGGTAGACCTAGAAAGAGATGGATGGATTGCGTGGAAAGGTGTGAAGGCAGTGACGACTGAGATGACGGATGATGATAATTGGAGGACAACCCGGTGCGCCGACTCTACGGGAGTAGGATAAGGAGATGAATACAGAGTAGGCAGAGATAAAAAACAACAATTAATTAACGATTTTATTTGTGATAAATGCGATCTAAACATAGAAAATACAATATTATTAGATAATACAATGGCATCGTGATCTCTATACAAAATACAATACTAAATAATAAATTTACACTTACTCATAGTCACATTTAAGGCAAGAACTTATTTTAATATAGTTTCGCGTGAGACTGGTGACAAAATCAAGAACCATACAATAACAATAATATAACAAAAGTGTGTTTATTTAATTATTAAAGTTAATAGGAAAACATTATTGATAATGTAAATAAAAATACATTCAAAATGTGTGCGTTGCTTGTTTGTCCGTTTGCTCCCTAACAAAGATTCTGCTGACGAAACAGTAAAAAATATAGTTATCTCAGTTTTTTTCAAAGTGAACGAGCGAGATGACAATATGTGTGAAAGTTCCATACTCATGATTGTTACATTTGACCTTTTTAGTTATTTTGTGAAAATTATGAAGTAAAGTGATATTGTAAAATAAGTGTATTCTTATTCAGTTAAAGTTATGTGACATATTTTTTCGTTCTAATCAAAATCATGTATGAAACACGCATTCTCTTTGAAAAAAAAAAACAGAAAAAAACTTGCACATTGGAGTAGTTGAGAGTTTATTCTATTGCAATAAAGTTGTAGCGCTCTAATGTATTGTATTTTAGTTATTAACAGAAAGTTTTATTGCCATACTCACAGTTGTTAATGTTACTTAAAAAGCCCTTTATTGTTCACATATAGTTGCAAGAAAACTTTATCTACGGAGATTCTGGAATGTCCAAGTTTTTGGACAATCGGAATGGAGCTTTTTTATTTTAAAATTTTGGTATTTTTATTGATTAAAAATATATTTATTGTTATTTTAAATTATTTAAGATCTGTTATTTTTTACCTTATTGTACTTAGCTGCCGTTTGATTTGCGATATTTGGACAAAAACTTTCTCATTTCGTTTGATCTTGGAATTTACATATTCACGAAATATTACAGAATATACAAATTGGTTTAGCGAAAAATTTTCGAGATTACATTTTTTTGATTTTAGATGACTTTTTATATGATATTTGGCCGTAAAAAAAATCTATGATAGTTTTTATTTTAAAAATAATTACAGATTTTAAATCAATGTTTAACAATGCATAAATAATAAACACAATACAATTAGTAATAAAATAATTTAACACAAGTAATTTCAATATAACTCAATATTTACATAATTTCCCTTTAATAAATCTCTTAATTTGCATTTCATAAGACAATAGCGTCTAAATACATTTAAAATCTCCACACATCTGATTTAAAATAATTTTCTCTTTGTTGCCTTATTGTCCTTTTCATATTCAGATATATAAATTGATAGATCCTTAAAAACATGTAATAATAAACATATACATAGTAAAAACAATATTTCGTTTAAATGTATACATATCACACTAAGGGCCTGTCCCAATAAATTGTAAACTGTCTGAAAACAATCCAATATGTGATGGAAATATCGGATTTTGTTACCTTATCTGATAACGAGCTGTTTCCGTGCGACTTCATTCGCATAAAATTATGAATATTTTATTTTATTGTTTACATTTGTCAAATTATCAATTGCAAATGTCAAACTGACATGACATGATGACAAAGCAAGGCAACCTTGCTTCCTTGATGTTAGCAGCAACTTATGGTCTCTTTCCCACATTAGGGTTTTTATCCAAAAAGTTTACCTCTTAGTTTAATGGCGTGAAAATGTATAGCCGTAAGTGTAGGACTTTTTATTAAAAAAGAATTATTCAAAAATATGCTGTGATTGCTGATATCTAAGTATATAACGTCATTTTTAGGGTATCTGAGCCTCTATCAGCCAGTGGTGGGACAGGCCCCTATAAGTTACCAAGTGATTTCAAGTGTGGGTATCTTCGTATAATTAGTAAAATTACTAAAGTTTTAATATTCTATGTTTTCCAGTAAAGTTATTTAGCTGTGCGGGCTAAGCGAGCGCGGAGGCGGGCAGCGAGCTGTGTTTGGGCTTGGCTTTGTGCACGAACACCTTGATGCAGCCGTTGAAGTCCGCGCTCACCAGCACGTGCCCCGTCTGAGAGGACGACACCATGCCGCCCTCCGCAGCCTTCTGAACACACGCAAGCACCATTCAATCACAATTATTTAACACTAATTTTGGCCCGTGACTCCGTCCGACGCAACAAAAGTGAGTAAGCTGTGAGTTCTTCTAGACTATCTCCTACATCTATACCAAATTTCATCGAAATCCGTTAAGCAGTTTAGACTACAGACTCTAACAAATTCCATCTAAATCTTCGCAAAAATATGACATAATCTGAGAGAACACTTTCTGGAGGGCTACTTTCTTATGTTTCTTTTGATACAACGCGGGCGGAGTCGCGGGCGAAAGCTAGTAAATAAATAGGCACTTGATGTTTTTCTTTACAACAAAATACCAACCAGCGGTAGTCTTACAAGAAAATGATATCTTCAACATTAAAATAAGGATGCCGAATGGCCAACTCGTCCGATACAATATCACGACTACACAGAAGACAGGCGTGAAGTGGGAACAATTCCGTATTCTTTCCCACCCTTTTTCTTATAAGAAAGGATGGGTAGGAAACGTGGTCTTAACGCTGGAGGGTCGCAAAGGAAGGGGATTATCCTCTTTATGTCCGTTTCCTCCTCCGTCGATTAAGAATCAACGTATCCGCCATTGTGGATGTCTGGGCAGCGATCACTTTACAATTTTGGCAGATTCAGGTGGTCGCTTACTCGTTTGTAACCCTATAATATAAAAAATATGCGTAATGAATTAGACTCACCGCTTCCTCCCGCTCCTCCGGGGTGTTGTCGGCCATGCTGTGTTCAGCCTCCCGCTCCGCTATCATACGTATCATGTGGTCGGGGTTGGGCGCGAACACGGCGCACGTCACCACCGCGTTGTGCGCCTTTATACCCTCCCAGAAATCGTTCCTGTCTCTCCGCACAGAACTGAACTTTGAATAATCGTGATACGTCTTCCATATGTAAATGCATTGGTTTTCTGAACCGCTGACGATGTATTTCCCATCGTGAGAGAACGAGGCTTTGATTTGACTGGATACGTTCACGTAGCCTTTGTATTTACAAGATAGATTTAAGTCTCTTAAATCGTAGAGTCGTATTCTACTGTCGTTGGACGTGACTAATATCTTGTCGTCGTTAGGCATGGGTTCTATGCCGCTTATTTTGCGTCCGGTGGAATTCTTTCCGCGCGTGGATCGCACGTCTATCTGTGTGTGGTATTTTAGCTGGTCTGTAGTGTAGAAGATGCAGCGACCGTCGTATGTGCCGACTACAGCGAATTTACCATTCTGACAGAAGTTAGCTGCGGTTATCAGTTTCGTTTTGCCGTCCACTTCATTCCATACCGCCACCTATGTGTTATTACATTTAAAATTATGAAAGAATATTGAAATTCAGTAAGAGAGAAAATTACATATAAACGTGTTTTACGTAAGATTTTTTTCAGATTTTACATAGTTACAGTAATTATTTTTAAACGACTTAAAAAAAAAGAGAAGGTACTAAATTTAATATTACAATATCGCTTTCTCGTATCAAAATGTCATCGGAAATTAAACATGCGAAAACTTACAAGACAAATGAAATGTACTCTAAAACAAATCCATCACTTACCTTTTTGTCAGGAATGTTCCAGAGCCTGAGTTTCCCATCCAGACTGCCGGAGAGGAAGTACCGATCATCCCTGGGATGGAACACTATCGCGGTCACGAAGTCTATATGCTGGAAGCAGCAGAGACACTCCCCGCGGGAGATGTGCCACAGTCTCACTGTCTTGTCCATAGAAGACGACAGAAGGAAGTAGTTCTTAGACCAGGATACGTCTAGGAGATCTGATGTGTGTCCAGAGTAGACGCAGAAGGGTTTAGGACAGAAGGGCGCGGAGGGACCGAGAGGTGCCTCAGGGCTGGGGGGAGGGGCGGAGAGGGATAACGACTCCTGAGAAGGTGTTGGTGAGGATTTCTTCTCGGCATTGTATTTTGTTCGCATATCCTAAGGAAGAAGTTATTTTTTTAAAGTTACACGTTTTTTGAACTATGTACGAATGTACACTGATGTGTTAAACACTTGTAAACAGGCTTGTACTATGTATAAATTAAATAAAATCTTGTGAACTTACACGTAAACATAATTTATGTACGTATGCACTCGTATAATGTACTATCAGGAAATTTGGTGGTGTTTCACTTTAAAAGCACACGGCTTCATAGTAATTATTATCATATTTGCGCAACTCACTGCGACATAATTAGTTATTTGTAAGAAGAGACAATTTGTATAATTGCAACAAAAATGTAATTTCTAAGTGGAATAGTGCTTATCCGCGACAATGGACAAATGGACAATAACTTTTCCAGGGTCGTATTTAGTAGATGGTAACATATTTGTTTTGTAAGTACAGTCGCGGAAATCCGCAGTGTTCCACTTTATGAATTGCCTTGTTCATTACAACGAGACAAACTCCGTCTCTGACAAATAACTAATTTGATAGCAGTGAATACAAACTGTGCAAAATAAAAAGAAACTAGCCGTGTGTCACTAAACAACTTTTCGTAGATACATTTATAAGCGGAGTTGTATT